AAAAAAAAAAAAAAAAAAAAAAAAAAAAAAAAAAAAGTATAAAGACTATAAAGTGAAATAAAGAAACAGAAAACAAACAGAAAACAACAAAAAAACAAACAAAAAACAAAAAAACAAAATAAATAAAATAAATAAAATAAAAAAATAAAAATAAAAAGGTATAGACGAACCTGTAGATGACTGCGGGCACTGAGAGGAGATGTGGCCGGAGGCGTTGCAGATGAAGCACAGCGCGAACGGCAGAGATCCGTCCTAGAGAAAAAAACAAATAAATAAATAAATAAATAAATTAAATAAATAAATAAATAAATAAATAAAAATAATTAAATATAATACATACAGCAACACGTGCAGGCAAAATACAGGGGCCCCTATGGGGCGGGTGCAGCAGCTGGCGAAGCAGCAGCAGCTGAAGCAGCAGCAGCAAAGCAGCAGCAGCAAAAGCAGCAGCAGCGGCAGGAACAGAAGCAGCAGCAGGAGTATCATCAGCAGCAGCAACAGCAGCAGCAGCAGCAGCCTTGTGCTGCAGCTGAGGCTAGCGAGTGTACAGACAGTGCAGGGGGCCTGGGGTGTATAGGCACCTCCTTTCTTGGTCGTTTACAGTTTTTTAATGTGTGATCCTTCCCCCCACAATTAAAACAAATCCCTGATGTTGCTGCTGCTGCACCATTCGCTGCTGTTGCTGCTGCACCGTCTGCTGCTGCTGCTGCTGCTGCTGCTTCGCGACACTCGTGCAGCAAATGGCCCCTCTTCCGGCCTGTACGCAGAAAAGAAAAAAAAAAAAAAGAAAAAAAAATCAAGCCGGTGTTGCTGCTGCTGCAGCTGCTGCAGCTGCTGCTGCTGCAGCTGCTGCTGCTATTGCTGTTACTGCTGCTGTCGCTGCTGTTGCTGCTGCTGTCGCTGCTGCTGTTGCAACTGCTGTTGTTCCTGGCGCTTTATCTACTTATGCTGCTGTTGCTGCTACTGTTGCTGCTGCTGCTGCTGCTGCTGCTGCAGATCCACCAGCAACAACAGAAGCAGCAGCAGCAGCAACCGCAGTGGCTATTGAATGCAGTGGAGTGTACGTACACTTGAGGCAGATTTTTTTATGTTTTTTTTTGGTTTTACTTTCATCATGTTTATTTATTTTATCTCTTTTGTTGTATTTCTTTTTCTGTTCTCCTCCTCCCCCCCCTCCTCCTCCTCCTCCTCCTTGTTGTTTTTGTTTATATAATATTTTTTCTTCTTTTTTCTGTTGTTTGTTTTTTTCTTTTTTTTTATTTTTTGGGGATTTCTTCAGCTGCCCCCCCACCGTCCTCTCTCCCCTCTCTGCCTTCGCCAGCACAGACAGCCGCATACGCAGCCTCTTTATCCTGGATGCTGAGAGGCTCTCGCGCTGCTGCTGCAGCAGCTGCAGCAGCTGCTGCTTCTTTGCTGCTATCTCCTCAGGGCCCCAACACCCCTCCAGCTGCCGCTGACGATGGCGTGCACGGGGGCCCCTCTGCTGCCTCTCATCGCTGCTGGGGGCCCCCGGGGCCCCCTCGGCTTCTCTATCAGACTCGTGAGCTGTAGATACACCTCCTTCATCCTCTGCTGCTGCTGCTGCTGCTGCTGCTGATGCTGCTGTGTCTTGCTTCAACTTCCTCTTCTTCTTTACAGAGCCAGAAGCAGCAGCAGCACCACCATCAGCATCTGCATCAGCAGCAGCAGCAGCAGCAGGTTCAGCTGCCTCAGCTGCTGCAGCCTCTGCGGGCCTCTTATGCCGTTTCTGCTTCTTCTTAGCGCCACTCAACGAACCAGCTAACTCTCCCTCATCATCACCTGCTGCTGCTGCTGCTGCTTCTGCAGCAGCAGCAGCAGCAGCAGCAGCAGCTTTGCTGTCCTTCCGTCCCATTTCAGAGGCAGCTGCTGCACTGAGCGGGGGCCCCAGTACCCCAAGTGGGCCCCTCTGCTGCCCCTAGAAAATAAAAGCTAAATCAACTAAAAAAGAAAACAAATAAATACTAAACTTTGCGGTTGCTGCTGCAGTTGCTGCTGCAGTTGCTGCTGCTGCTGGTGTGGGGCCAAATAAGGCTCCGCAGCGGCGAAGCCGACAAATAAAAGGCGTCAACGCCTTTTTAAAATAAAAAATAATTATTAAACAATTAATTAAAACAAATAAGAAAACAAAAAACAGAATAAATTAAACTCAAGCGATAGATCATCCACCACAGGGGGCCCCCAAAACCCAAACAAAAGGAGGGTACAGGGGGCCCCCAAGGTTTTCTTATGAAACAGAAGCTGCAGCTACTAAACACATTTCCCTTATAATTAAATTAATAAATATAATTAATTAAATAAAAAAATACAGAAATGTATTACCCCAAACAACCCAGTCCGTTGCCGGGGCCCCCAGTAACTCATGGGGGCCCCCAGGAGCCCAGGGGGGCCCCCAGCACGGCAGGGGGCCCCCAGCACCTCAGGGGGCCCCCCAGTACCTGAAGGGGCCCCTTATAGCTGAGCATTTCTGAGGTACTGGGGGCCCCTTGAAGGCCGCATCTCCTCAACGGGGGGCCCCCTGGGGCCCCCCCAGTATGTAGCTAAGGGGAGGAGAGGGCCCTGGGTTGGGGGCCCCCCGGAGCAGACAAACCCTCCCCTTGAGTTAATAACAAGTCAAAGGAAAGCGAAACACACATACACACCCAAACTGAACACAACAACAACTAAAGAAACACCATAGGGGGGCCCCTGCGGGGGCCCCTAGGGGGGCCCCCAAGCGCGCTAACAAGAGGCCCCCAGAGGGAGCCCTGAGGGGCCCCCGATTGGGCCCCTGAGAGGGCCCCTGAGGGGCCCCCGATTGGGCCCCTGAGAGGGCCCCTGAGGGGGCCCCTAAGGAGGCCCCTGAGGGGGCCCCTAAGGGGGCCCCTGAGGGGGCCCCTAAGGGGGCCCTTGAGGGGGCCCCTGAGGGGGCCCCTGGGGGGGCCCCTCGGGTGCTTCTTCTGTGTTATGGTGGGGCGGTAGGAGCTGCAGGGCGACGTCGGTGTCTTGTATAGAGGCCTTTGATACGGGTTGGTTGTCTTCTGAGGGTAGCAGCAGAAAAAATAAAAAAAGAAAAAAGGAGAAAAGAAAGAAGAAATGATGAGACAGAAAGGAGAAAGTT